GCAGGGGTGGAGTGGGGGGGATGCCCTCAGGGCTGGCTGCAAGGTGTGGGCTACCAGGCCTCCAGAAGAGGGTCCTTCTCATGCACTGGCTGAATGAACACACCACCCAGCAGAGGCTGGGATGGAAGGCAGATACAAAGGCCACTCGTGCCCCTTCCCAGAGCAGTGGTCCCCAGCTAGCGCGATGTCAGGATTGCCAGGGAGCCTCAAACATGCCGAGGCCCAAGCCCCTCCCCCAGCTACCCAGCTTTCATCTGGGCATGTCCCTCAACTTTGGTCAGCTAGTTGCAAGAACCAGGAGCAACAGGGGAGATGCAGGAGAGAAAGTAACTGTGGGAGCTGGTCTGGAGTTCAAACCCAGCTTCTTGCCAGCTATGCGACTTCAGACCCCTACCTTGACCCCCCTGAGCCTCCTCAAATATAATAAGTGTACCTCCCAGAAGTAGGTGGGGATCAGGGATAAGATACATGACTATTCAGTTTGGCATGGCTACCTAGGAATGTGACGAAGGGGGGCTGTCATCACTGCCTACCCCCCCCCACCCCAGCTGCATTGATCCTTGCGAGTCGACTGGGCTCCAGGACCACCTGCCACATCTGGGGATTCAAGTGTGAGCCGGGGGGATGGGGGAGAAGCTGGCCGTGTCGACAAGGGTTGCCTTGGATCCACGGTCCCAGCTTCCATGAGACTATTCTGGGTCCAATTCAGAATGCCTGGCTCCTGGCTCAACGGGCTTTGTCCCAAAGATGTAATTTCTATTTTGATTCCATGCGACATTTAATGAAATGACTTTCAGACACCACGCAGCATGTCTGAGTTATGAAAGCACAGCTTTTGGATTCCCCAACACGACACCATCACGGGCCCCTCTCGTTGCTTCAGGGGCTGCTCCACGGTTCCTGAAGGGGGTACGCTGAGCCTCCGGATTCGAGGCGCTGCGCACAGCCCCAGGGCCCAAGGCCCGCCCCGATGGAAGCTGCCCCGTCCGCCCCAGGCCTGGCACTGCCACCCCCGCAGTTTCCCAGCTGGGCAGAGACAGCAGCCTCTGCCCGGGCTTCCTCCCTCCAACCCAGCGCTGTTCAAACTGCAGATCAGAAACGTTCAGGGGGATGGGAAATCAATGCAGAGGGTTGCAAACAGTATTTTTAGAAAAACAAATGAAACAGAATAGAATAGAAAACACTGGAATGCATTGCACATGGCTGGAGTGACTGCGTCCTGGCATCCTGGGAGGCTGTACACGGGTCTTTGTAAAATAAAAGACTTGACAGAATGCAGCTCCAATCCACTCCCTCCAGCCTCTTGGAAGTGCACATCTGATCTGCTTACTCCTCCACTAAAACTCACTGCAGGCTCAGGGACAGAGTTCAAATCCCTCAGTGTGACACTGAAAGCCCCCAAGACCTGGATCCTGTCCACCCTCACCCCCCCACACACACCCAGGAGAGAGCAGGGCCAGGCGGGCCCCCTCGGAGCTCAGCTGACTGAGAGGACCGGACAGGCTGACCTAGTGAGCCGAGTGTGACGTCACTGGGGCCGTCTCCTGGGTGATCCCACGCCACACGCCACCTGCTGACCTCCTCTGGGCCGGGATGACTTCCTAGATTCTAGAGAAGCTAAGGTATAAATATACCTTCTGTTCAAAAGGAAGCAGAAGCCCTACAATTTCTCAACAACTTGGCTATTAAAAATAGGAATTCCACCTACGTGCTGGAAGAGTTTGTCGGGGATCACTGAAGGGCCAGAGTCATGAGGTCACTCACATGTTTGGGGCCGAGGAAGCCGCCGGCCTCAAAAGCTAAACGCTGCAAGAAGGCAGGCAGCTGTGTGCAGCTGGAGCCCCAGCTCCAAGGCCCCTGAATCTCTAGAAGCAAGCAAGGCCAAATGGCACGCAGCCAGCATCCCCATAAAACTCACTTCCCACCACACCACGGAAACATCTGGACAAGCACAGGTACCAGAGAAAATTGAAAAAGGAATAAACTGTGCATTAGCAAGTAGACGCAAGACCTCGTCTTGGACCTTGGGAGCACCCAAGGAGATGCCTGGCTTCTCTGAGTCCTCGGAAGGGAGCACAGCCCGGCCCAGAGCCAGGGACACGGGCAGAAGGAAGAGCCAGTATGCCCTGAGGATTCCGCCTTTGGTTGAGGTTCGAGGCCCGGAAGGCCTGCAGCTCAGGGTTATGGGACAGTCTCCAGAAGGCTCTGTGAAGGAGCGGACAGGATGGTCAGTTAGCATCTGCAACCACTCCCAGGTTAGCCAGGCGGCCAGGGGAGAGGAGAAGCTGGGAAGTGAGCCCCATGGTACCAACCACCCCCTCACGGGCCAGAGGCTCCAAAGCATCATCTCTCTTTTTTTTTTTTTTAAGATTTTATTTATTTTTGAGAGAGAGAGAGAGAGGGAGGGAGGAGCACAAGCAGGAGGGGGTGCGAGGGGCAGAGGGAGAAGCAGGCTCCCGGCTGAGCAGGCAGCCCAACACGGGGCTCGATCCCAGGACCCCGGGATCAGGACCTGAGCTGAAGGCAGATGCTTAACCGACTGAGCCCTCCAGGCGCCCCAAGCATTCTCTCTTTTAATCCCCACTGTCATGACCCTCCTGCTACAGAGCGCAACTTCTCACGGGGTGGTCACTCACTTGCTCCCGCATCCACTCATTCATTCGATAAACATTTATGAAGAGAATCCAAAGTTCTGTGCCCATGTCGGGGGCTGGCCAAACATCCTGTGGGGACAGCAGACCCCGTCCCCGGCCTCAGGGGGCTCACAACCTGGGGGTTGGGGGGGACGGTCAGCAAAGTGGCAGACTGGTCCCGTTCTGCACGGCAGACTCAGAGCAGGTACTGCTGCGGGCCAGGGGAGCACAGAGCGCACCCCTAACCCAGCCTGCGAGGGCGGCGGCGGGTGGGGGGGGCAGGTAAACTGGTCTCCAGGCTGGCACCCGAAGTGTGTCAGGTGGACAGGCAGCAAGGTCCAGGCATGGTAGGGAGCCGCAGGAACAGTGTGTCTGCAGCCCTGAGGCTCAGGGAGGGTCCGCGTGCGGTCAAGGTGAAGCCAGCGGGGTGCCTGGGCTGGGGCAGATGAGGGCTTCATCTTGAGGAGTAAGGGGGGCGTCCTGAGGGCTCTAGCAACACAGTGGCACCACCTGATTTGCTTTCTGAAAGATCATTCTGGACACTGTGTGGATAAGGGACTAGAGGAAGACAGAGTGGGAGTGGGCAGCCTGCCCCTGAGTGTGGCCGTAACCCAGGCAAGGTGGCCCTGGGATCTGCAGGGGGATGGGGCTGCACTGGAGCACCATCTGGGAGTGGATCGGCAGGGGGCACTGGGGGGCGGTGAGGGCGAAGGGAGGGTGCGAGGCTCCCCCTCCTGACCACACGTGGAATAGCAGAGCCCACACATGAATCTCTGACCTAGCTCCTAGAGGCCGCGGTGCCATTGGCCCAACAGACGACCAGCATATCTGGGGTGCAGTTTGGGGCAGTGTTGGTGGGGCGCCCAAGTGGAGATGTCCAGTTGAATGTTCGGTCTGCAACTCAAAACCTACACTGGGGAGAGCTGCAATTCCACAGACCGGTGTGAAGAGGCCCCAGGGGAAAACCCTGCAGAGCAGAGGAGTGGGGAGCGGGGCGTGGCAGAGGGTGAAGACTGGGAAGGAGACACCCAGAGGAGTAGGTATGGGATCCCCGAGCCAGGGACCCCAGTGAGAACTGAAGGGGAGCCACAGACACAGGGGGCAGCACAATGGACATAAAGGTTCAGAGCCACTCTGGAACCAGCCTGCCCCGCTGCCCAGGCTCAAGTACCAGTTCCTCCCCTTGACTGGCTGTGTGACCTTGGGCAAGCGCTCAACCTCTCTGTGCCTTTGGTCCCTCAACTGTGAAGGGATATTGTAAGGGGTGAATGAGTCACTACATGAAAAGGCGAGCACTACATAAATGCTGGGGGAAAGAAAGCAAAGGTCTCAGGCTCTCAGAGACGCAGGGTAGTGGTGAGATGGGGAGGAAGCCACACGGCGGGAACTAAGGCGTGAAGGGACCCGGGTAGGTGGTAATAGCTGCAGAGATGAAACAGGATGGGGAAAGGGTGTCACCTCCCAAGGAGGCAACACAGGAAGGAGAGAGAAGCCCAGATGTAGTGTCTGGGAAACCCTCCAAGGGGCCGCACCCCTGCGCCCCCCACCCCTGCCTGGTATGCTGGCAGGGCTGGCTGACTGGTTGCAAATGTCAACCCTACCCGCCCTTCTCCCTCGTCCTCTCCCCCAAATAAAACCGCTCAGGCCCAAACTGAGCTCATCCTTCCAGGACCCTTGGAGCCTCTGACTCCTCTCTCACACACAGGCAACCCCTGATTCGATCCCACCAGCTGTCTTTCCAGCGCAGGCAGAACTTGGCCTGCTTGCCACCTCCACTCCTGCCCCTCACTACCCTGGCAAGTCTCCACCACCTCTCACCTGGACAGCTGTGACAGCCTCCAAGCAAGGCTCCGGCTTCCACTGGTACATGCCAACTGATACCGGACCTACAGAAACAAGAATGCACCTTTGAAAAGGTAAGGCGGATCCCAAACTTCCCATGCTTCTCATTCCACTCAGAATGAAATCCCAACCTGGGCCTACAAGGCCCCACAAGACCCACTGTGCACACACACTCCCCCCTCCGCCCACTGATCCAACCCCAACCCCATCCCTCACTCTGCTCTCACCACACAAAAACAAAAATGTCCCTGCCGCAGGGCCTTTGCACTTGCAATGTCAATGCCTAAAACAAGCTTTCCTCTACTAACCATGTGGTTTGTCCGCCACTTCCTCCTCTAGTTCCTCAGAGCTCTTCCTCGACTACCCACATGAAAAAGCATGAGCCCGTGGCCTGCCGCCTCCTTCCGACTTCCATTTCCTTCCCCTGACTTACCACACATCAGTTAGTTAGCTGGTTTCCCATGTCCCCCGTCAGTGCACAATCTCCACAAGAGCCTGGGCTTCATCTGCTTTGTGCTTCGTTGTCTCCTTGGCCCCTGAGCAGAGCAGACATATAGTAGGGTGCTCAGTAAACACAAATTAATGGCCTTTCAACCCCACACCTCACCCCTCCTCCCGACTGTTTTCTGTCTTGTGTGCACTACTGTTTCTGGCCCTGGAACAGCACTCCCCCCCCCCACCCCTCCTTCTTTCCTTCCCAACAAGAACAGGTAGGGGTCCTTCCCCTGCTCTCTACCCCCTCCCTCCCTAGACCTAATCACACCCTCATCTGTGTGATCTTGGGACACAGGACCCTTAATCGCATGCTCTCTTGACTCCAAGACCAGGCATCAGACACCAGGCCCCCTTCATTCAGACACAAGCAGAAACCATCTATACTCTGAGAGCTGAGGCCTCTGTGGCATAACCAGGAATGCAAAAGAAGATGGATCCTGCCCACGGGGGTTGACAGTTTCCCCGGGGAGGCCACAAGAATAGAAGGGCCGTCATCCCAGCACAGCCTCACACCTGAGGTCCTGGCTTTGCCACCTGCACACTTAAGCCCTGGGCCCAGGAGAATGTCTCATAAGCAGCGGAGCGGGACTTAGCTGGGTCCTCTGGGCTCCAAAGCCCAGGGTTTTCTGAACTGAAAGGGGCTTCATTTTTTTTTTTTTTTTTGAAAGGGGCTTCAGATCTGGCCCCCTGGCTGGCCATTTTGGACGGAAGCAACTGGCTCCCGGTTTCCGATGAGATCCTCAGCCTCCCAGGCACCATCCAGAGGTGATTGCAGAGGAGTGGGCGCACACGTGAATCACCAGCACGGCCTTGCGCGGGGCCGTGACGTCTCTGTGACTCAGCCTGCACGCTGCAGGGCACTTCTGGGGACAGCTGCAGGGCTGGCCCAACCCTCCAGGCACTGGGGGGGGGGGGCAGGGCGGGAGGGCACCTGCCATCTGCCCGGGGAGCCGCTGCCTGAGTTTCCACAACCGCTCTTCAATATTTATTACAGGAAAATTAAAACAGAAAAACAGAACAGAAAGAAAAACTGCTCACTCCCACCTCCCTAAGACAACTGTTTTCATTTCTCCATTTGCGATACCTCCTGTTTTTATCCATATGTACACATATTTTTATGTCATTGTAACCACGGTACACATAGAATTTATGTTCTGCTATTTTCATTGTCTGGTATTCTGTAAGCTGCTCTCCATGTGGCTGCATGACCTTCATTTATTTACCGTTTATAATTGACAGGTTAGCACGCCCTTTAGAGATAGGACATAATTCGCACACCCATTCCCCTTTTGCTCAGCATTCAGATTACTTCCAGCTCTAACTCTAACTGGAGATGGAAGGCTGAGTCCCCTTTTAAAGATTTCAAAATGAATGGGATGATGCAGCCATTTGGCGAGCATTGGTGGAGAACCTTCCACCTGCAAAGGGCAAATTGAGAGCAAGTCACAGTGCCTCGCATGCACACTCCACACAGAGGCACAGATACGAACCCACTGACAGCCAGTGGTCCGCTCACCACCTGTCCCTGCCCCCACGCCCGGTTCCTAGCCCTTCCATGGCTCCCCATGGCTGCCAGGTCAAGTAGAGGCTCTTCAGCATGGCACCCCAGGTCCTGCCCAACCACTCATTACAATTCTCTTTGATTCCCACCAGATGACTTCTACACCAATGTCCCCCATCCCCAGATACGGGGTGCCCTCTCTTGCCTCAGGGCTTTGCAAACCCAGGTCACCCCTATTCCCGCACATCTGACTCACCCTCCACGGTGCCACTTGGCATCCCCTGGTCTGTGAAACCTTTCCTGCCTCCCCAGGGCCTGGCATCCTCCTCTGTACCCCACAGGGCCCAGGCTGACCATCTGAGCCCTTAGTGCCCTGCACCAGTGGTGTGTTTGTAAATGTTTAATAACCAGCTCTCCAGAAAGGGACGCTGAATTGTAGCACTTACTAATTCCCATGGTGTAAATACTCCCACCAAAGCTGATTCCGAACCACCAAATGCTCAGCAATACACTGTTCTATAGTTATTTCTACCATATGTTCTATAGTTATTTCTACCATAGAGACATGAGAGGCATGAACAGCCTCAGCAGCACTAATGTGTGGGGAGATAGGGTTTGAGTATTTCCCATATTTCTCTTTCATATAATTTATTTAATTTTAGGCTTACATAATTTACTTTTTAATAATGGCTGTATTTAATAACCAGCGGTGTTAGAGCTGAATTGTGTCCCCCTAAAATTCACACGCTGAAGTCCCAACCCCCAATGCCTCAGAATGTGACTGGTTTGGGGATAAGGTGTTTAAGGAGGTAATTGAATTAAAGTAATCATAAGGGTGGGCCCTGATCCAATCTGACCGGTATCCTTGTAAGAGGCGATAAGGACAGAAAGACAGAGGGGCGACCGTGTGAGGACACAGGGGACGGCCGTCTGCAAGCCACGCAGAGAGGCCTCGGGAGAAACCAACCCTGCCCACAGCTTGATCTCAGATTTCCAGCCTCCAGAACCGTAAGGAAATAAATTTCTGTTGTTCAAGCTGCCCAGTCTGTGGTAGTTCCTCACGGCAATCCTAGTAAGTTAATATGCTCCCAAAATTCCTATAAATTTAGGAATTTGTTCTCCTGCCCGTGCTTCCTGGCTCCTGCCCATTATTGACCATCTACCACTTTCCCTTTTCCTGACTTGACTGTGGACCCTCAAGAGCAAGGTCAAGTCTCGGAACTTCTGGGTGGCTCAGTCGGTGAAACATCTGCCTTCGGCTCAGGTCATGATCCCAGGGTCCTGGGATCGAGCCCCGCATCGGTCTCCCTGCTCAGTGGGGAGCCTGCTTCTCCCTCTGCCTCTGCCCCTCCCCACTGCTCTCATGCTCGCTCTCTCTCAAAAAATAAATAAATAAAATTAAAATCTTAAAAAAAAATAAAAAGAGCAAGGTCACATCTCACTCATTAGTCACCTAGTGCCTTCTGGAAAGATCCAAATAGAAAATATTTCAGCTCTACCTAAATACGGCCAGTCGCCACATTTCTACTCTGCCACGTCAGCGTGAAAGCTGCCGGGACGGTACACACATGAGTGTGCTGTGTCCCAGGGAGACCATCTGTGAGTGCTGAAACGTGGGTTCATGTCATTGAGACATGTCACGAAATATTCTGTTGATACATCTTTAAAAATTCTTAGCTCAGAGTCCGTACGAAAACAGGATGTGGACCAGATGTGGCTCCTGGGCCTAGTTTTTTGAGCCACGACCTTCAGTGTAGCCCCTGCAGCCCCCACCCCCAGCACAGGGCCAGGCACAGGAGGAGAGAGGCGAAGTCAATGCTTGATGATCCAGGGATGAAGAAACGAAGGTCAGCCAGCCAGCTCACAGGCTCTCCAATTCAGCTAGCAAAGACCACTTCCAGGCAATGTCATGAATTTTTCTTTAATGCAGAATTTGTTCTAATATGCAAGGGAAAAAAAGAGCTTTCTGAAACATAAATCTCTCCCTGCAAGGTAGACCCATCACCTCTTTGTTGCCTCTAATCTTCTAAGTGATCTCTCAGAAATAAACATCTAGCACTTCTTCCATTAATAATTTCTATTTAATGAGCATCTCAAAAATGTGCCAAATCAAACCTATGAGGACAGAACGTCTGATCAGTGGTTACCAGGGGCTGGGAGGGGGAGGGAGAACGGGGAGGACAGCTGATACGTGCAGGGTCTCTTTCTGAAGGTAGAAAAGTGTTCTGAGGTTGACTGTGGTGGTGCTTACACAACTCTGTGAATACATAAGAGCCAGTGAAATGTGCACTCTGAATGGGTGAATTGGATGGTCTGTAATTATATCTCAACAAAGCTGTTGAAAAAGATACACCAGGCGTTAGTCACCTGATTCTCACAATGACAATTTTTTAAAAATATTTTACCTTTTCATCTCTGCACCCAATGTAGGGCTCGAACCCACAACCCCGAGATCATGTGTGGCAAACTCTACCGACTAAGCCAGCCAGCGCCCCTCACAGTGACAGTTTCTAAGCTGTCCTGTCCCTGCACCGATAGAAACAAACAGGCCCACTGTGGTGTGGAGATACAGCTCAGCGACTGAAACTCAGATCAGCCCAAGGGAGGCCAGGCCAGCCTCAGGCAGGCACTTGTTTGCACACCTTCCAAAGCAAACGTGTCCTGGACCCCTGCAGGGGTGGCGCCCCCCCCCCCAAGTGGAGGGGAGGCACAGTGCACCACACACAGGCAGCTAGTTCCCAAGCTCTTTCTGGACACAGCTGGAACCTTCCTGTTTTCCATCTTCAAGTTCAGTCATTGCTCCCCACCTCGTTACTAAGCCCGAGAATCCAAGTAGCTGTGTGATGCATGACCCCTCCTCAGCCTTCACAGGGCAGTGCAGCCTCCGAAGGCCCACGGCCTCATCTGGGAGTCGCAGGCAGAAGCAGGTTGGGAGTGGCTCCCTGGGTCCAAAGCCTGGGCCAGTGACGACTGGGGAGACTCCTGCCCAGATGGGCCACCTGGCCTCGGGGACAGTGGCGAGGCAGAGCTGGACAAGGGGAGCGAGGACACGATGCCCTGCTGAGCAGAAGCAGTCTCCTCGGGACCAGAGTGGAGGCCTAGGGTGCCTGTTCTCTCATAAAGGGCTGTGGGTAGTAACAAGAACATGGCCGTGGGGCCAGGACGCCTGAGTTCCAGTCCTGGCTGGCCACTGTGTTTCTACCTGCGGTCCTCAGCAAGGCCCAGGGCCTCCCGGAGCCTCTGGGACGCATCTGTGAAATGGGGCTAATCATTCACGCTCCCCCCACCCCACCCCTCCGAGTGGTGGTGGATCCAATGAACTCAGGGCTGTGGGTTCTGTTCGGGTCTGACTTGGTTGCATGTGGCACAAATGTCCTGATTCTATTAGGACTTTATTGGCTTACTTAAGTGAAAAGTCGGGGGAGTAGAATTCAGGCATGGCTGGATTCAGGCAATGAACAAGGTCACAAAGACCCCGTCTTTTCTGAAGACCCGCAGATCAGCTCTCCTGTCCTGACTGTGGGCTCCTCTTGACAGACACGGCAGCCCCATCCCCTCTGCACCCCGTGGCATCTGGAACAGCAGGGGCTGTGGCCAGAGGGCAAAAGAGGTCAGTCGGTGGGTGGCCTCTGAAGGAAAAACAAGGCTTTCCAAGGCCCTACCCACTCCTGAAGCAACTAGTCAATGCCAGGAGAGACAACAGCTCCCCTCCCACCATCTCCACCCAATTCAGAGTGCAGAATGGAAGGCCTTCTCTGGGGTGCCTGGGTGGCTCATCGGTTAAGCGTCCAACTCTTGGTTTCGGCTCAGGTCATCTCAGGGTCGTGAGACTGAGCCCTGTTTCAGACTCCGCACTCAGTGGGGAGTCTGCTTCAAGATTCTCTCCTTCTGCCCCTTTCTCTCACTCACACACTCTCTCTCAAATACATCTTAAAAACAAGAGAGAGAGAAAAGGCCTTCTCTGGGTCACAGGCAGCCTTGGTCCCGCTCCTATAAACTCTCAGGTCAGGCCACACCTCACAAGGCTCAGCCCGCCCCAAACTGGCCTGACATCCCCACTCGGCAAGTCTTGCCACCTGCCACCACCCAGGCCCCAAGCCCTTGCCTTGTTCATCCCGTTAGTTCATCCCTTTTAGTGTGGCCAAATGGTGTCCCTCGCAGCGTTCTCATGTTGTCAACAGCCAATAGGTTACACCTGCCCAGCCCACACTGGGCCCCAAAACCCCCCACCCTGGACACAGGAGGACCAGGCACCTTCTCATGTCTGGTACGAACTCGAAGGAGACAGAAGTTAAAGGCTGGGCTCCAGGTTTGAGCTGCCAACCAACTGCGTATAGACTCAGAGGACTCTTTGAATTTGGCATAAAAGCAAACAGGGACAATGCAAAGCACTAGGAAGGATAAAAAACAGACTGTGACTAAAGAGGATTAGATTAGAACCACAAGACAATCCTCCTTTGGCCACCATGTCCAGCCGCCATCAGACCCTGGGAGGTAAGATAAGGCAATGCCCAAAGACCCTGCAGACAGAGAAGCCATGCGGTCAAGTACAAAGTTACAACTGCTTCTCCCCAGATCATCCCTCAGGTCCGAACTTCCATTTCCAGTAAGCTTTTTTGCCTTAAAGTCCTTTTTCCTTTTAAGTGTCACCCACCCAGGGCTTTCCCCATCCTTCCCACCCTTTCGCATTGTTAACTTTCAGAAATAGCTTCTAGCTAGAATTCTTCTCATCGAATCTTAAGCTTCTGTGATTTAACTGGTTTGTCTACCCGCATTTATTGGGCTTATTGATCTTATCAGGATTTCCATTTACCACTCTCTGCTTTTTCTCGTCTTTTCTATTAGACCGATCACCTGTTCAATACCCCTTCTCTGCCACTTTGAAAGTGACACACTCGCGTGTTCTTGTAAGCAGGACTGTAGACTTTTCACAGATCTGGTGAACCCGCTAGCCCGCTCTTATTTACAGCAGGAGGACCTGCCCCCACTGTCTCCCTGCTACGTTGTCCAGTATTCTGGGTCCACTTGATTTTTTTAAGATTTTGTTTATTTGACAGAGAGAGACACAGCGAGAGAGGGAACACAAGCAGGGGGAGTGGGAGAGGGAGAAGCAGGCTTCCTGCAGAGCGGGGAGCCCAATGTGGGGCTCGATCCCAGGACCCCGGGATCATGACCTGAGCTGAAGGCAGACGCTTAACGCCTGAGCCACCCAGGCGCCCCTGGGTCCACTTGATTTTATCCATGATTAGATTCACTACAAGGCTACCCATTTCTTTGCCTACTACCCTCCTTTTGGTTCAATTTTCTCCTTAAAGTGTATTCTTTAGTCCTTCTTTTGAAGAGGGGGTAGGAATGAACTTTGAAGCCTTACTTCTGATTAAGTTGATTTTCTCAGCATCTCAAGATTTGCTTCCATAACCTTTTGGCTTCGACTGTAGTGCTGTTGAGAATTTCTGCCTAAAAATTACTCCTTTATAGATCTACCATTCCTGTAAACTTGAATGACCTTTGTCCGTATGCTCTGCAGATTCACTACAAATGAGCCTAGGTATGGATTTATTTTCATTTATCTGACTTGGGATTCCTTGCACTTTCTGACTTAAGTCACTTCTAAAACATTGTCAGTCATTATCTCTTTAAACATTAGCATCCAGTCCCTCATGGTAATAAGATGTCCTTTAAAAATAACATGCACCCCCTTCCATCCTCCACGTCTCTCCCCCATCTACTGGATAATTCCATCAGGTCCCTTCCCATCAACAATTCACCCTCAGTTGTGTCTCCTCCTTCTAAGCATCTTTTTCTTAAGTTCCAAAACCTTTAATTCCAGTAGTTTTATTATAGTCCTAGAAATTGTTGGAAGTTTTTAAAAAAATCTGCCCACTTCTTTAGAGTACACTGTTCTTAGGGTTTTCATTTTTTTCCTTCTGATCCCATTGTATCATCTATCATCGTAACAGGAAGTTCTTGGAGTTTTAAAGAAATCTTTATTTGTAGAGTGTGTGCGCAGGGAGAGGGGCAGTGGAAGAGAATCCCAAGCAGACTCCCCACAGAGCCGGCTGAGGGGCTTTATCTCAGGACCCCAGAGATCACGACCAGAGCCGAAATCAAGAGTCGGAGCCTTAACCGACTGAGCCACTCAGGCGCTCCAGTTCTTGGATTTTTTTTAAACTTTTGTCTTCTTTTCTTAAAGATTCTATTTATTCATTCGACAGAGAGAGACACAGCTAGAGAGGGAAGACAAGCAGGGGGAGCGGGAGAGGGAGAAGCAGGCCTCCTGCCAAGCAGGAGCCTGACGCGGGGCTCGATCCCAGGACCCCAGGACCATGACCCGAGCCGAAGGCAGACGCCCAACGACTGAGCCACCCAATTGGATTTTTATACCCATTATTCCTACATCCATGTGGTTTCCTCCAGTGTTTCATAATTTGTAAACGTGAACGCCATCTTGGAGAATCACATGCACCCAGGTTGGGGTTATGTATGTCTCTAGCCGACAAACTTGTGAGAGGTGCAGGCCTAGGGTTTTGATTTTTGGAGCCTAGGAAGATGAACAAGCTTATCCTTCCCACCTGGCCAGTGGGATTATTTCCTAGTCCCATCTCACTGGGGGTCCTGGCTTGATAGCAGGTTCAGGTTCTAGCTCCTCCCCTAGTGCAGGTCAATCCCTCCCCTCCAGATCCAAGAGGTATTTGGTCCCTCAACCCCCAATTTCTCGAAGAGATGAATAACCAACCCCCAGGGCTGCAATGAGCCCAAGCTTTCCCAGTCCCTGTCTTTGTTCCCAGCATCTGAAAATTCCTCTTTCTTAGGAAATCAATACCCACTTAACTTTCGTGATCACTGGCAGGTGTTTGAAGCTGGGAGGGTGTTCAGGTCACCTCAGTCCACTCTCTTGCTGGAACCACTCCAGTCCTTAGAACCAGGCAAGGGGACTGTGGTTCCTGAAACTTACATCCATAGCGGGTTCAGCTACTCTCATCAGAAAATAACCAGATGTGAGAATCCACTCCCAGGAATGGCAGGGGCCACCACTGATCACATTCTTTCTCAAGTACCCAGAGTGCACCAAAGTAGCCTCCTCTACAGAAGTGGGAGGAGGGGGGAGATGATGGGGTGTGCTGTCAGCTTTCTCTTGGAACAAGCCAAGCCATACATACAATCCTGGTCCCTCAAAGCTACAACCGCTCCGTATTGCAACCGTATTGCTATGCAGAATTAAACCACTATCAGGATCTCCAGACCAACAATGACAGAGCTATGCATCCGCACTAGCACACAAACAGCCAGTAAGCTCCCTGGCCCGATGGCCTTAACAAATACCCATCCAGTTCCAGCTGTGCAAGGAGCCAGCACCCAAGTCAGATCACAGGCAAGCAGACAATTCTGACTGCGTGACTTAACCACACTTAGCTGATGCAGGTCCAGTAAGTGAAGTACGGGAAGCGTGTTCTAGGGCGGGCAGCTCGCACAGGGGGATGGCAGGTGTAGCAGACTGTAGGGGGCCCACAGGGAGGCTGTTCGGAGTTGATCCTGACAGCATGGCTGCCCCAACACCCCCACTGGGTCTGCCATCAACCTGACATCATAAATCAAATGACATTCAGCGAGCCCTTGGGGTATAAAGGCAAAGATCTCTGCTAGGTTCCTCTAAGACAGAACACACCTGCTCCCCAGACATTACCCACCCCAAAATACTCAGCTCCAATTCATTTCCTCATTCACCAAGGCCTGATCCTTGGGGGCCTCATGCTAAGACGGGGATGGATACAGACGTGGGTATCCCTTCTACGTGAGCCTTTACAGGAAGAGCAGGGAGGGAATCTGGATTAGCCCCCCATTCCCCTCCTCCTCCACAGAGAAACAAGGTCACCCCCCTGCCCTGGCACCTACACCTCTCCTAAATGCTCCCATCCACCTCAAGTTCTCCGCTGCTCGTTCCCTGCTCTGGCTCACTGTCTAACAGGTTCACTCACGCATCAGCTCCCTCCTTGAGAACGTAAGCTGCACAGGGACGGCTAGGCCCCCAGCCGCACCTCCAACACCTCAGAACGGTGCCTGCCCGGCAGCTGGTTGTCACAGATACCTGCATATCGAAAGTAGCAGGATATACAAGGTAAGGATTTCAAAACGGCTTTAGGAAGGTGGGCCAGGAAAGGCCATTCACAGAGAAAGGGGCCAATCCAAGCCCATAAAGAAGTCCACGCAGCTCAATTTGATGAGGAAGAGCAAAGCTGGGAAGACCCTTAGCCCCATCTGGTCCCCACCCCCATCGTTTAACAGCTGGGAAAACGGAGGCCGGGTAGCGGCTCGCCCAGGGGTGTTGGGAAGTTAAGCCCCCTTGACCCTGGCCCACAAACTCCAAGAGAAGCACAGGGCACGCTTTTGTTCATCACCTCTCAGGCATTAGCGAAGTCCCCTCCCCCAAATGGATGAAAAGCAAATGAACGCATACACCTTCATGAAAAAGACTTTCTCGTTTTTTCTTCCTAAACCGAAATGCAAATTAATTTATCAAGGAACGGACATAAGAACTGTTCATTTAATCCCTGTGCCACATTCAGTTTTTAGACTTTGAAATGCTTGACTAAAATCTGCTTCCCTTTAAACAGATCAGGAAACTGAACTGGAGTTGGCAAAAATGAATCCTTCCACTAATGCACTAACGGGGAGGCCGAATCCTGAAATCGACTTCCGACTTCCACCTGCACCTGACATGCGAGGCAAAACAGTTTATTCACTTTTGTGTTGCACAAGTGTAAGAACCACATAATCTGGATTTACTTTAGGTAACAATAATTTAAAAGATAGAAAGCCCCTGTTACAGAAATTGTTAAATTGACTATTTGACAATTTATACAATAAATGAAAAAACTGACAATAGAACAGGCCAGTGATCAGCCAACACAATACAACAGGTTAACAAATGCAGCCAAAGGATCAGTGCGTATCATCCACCACCTTCCACCCAACATCATGGCTGGGCTGGGTTTTTGGGGGGGGGGGGGTCCTGGAAAGGAGAAGGCAGCGGGAAACAAAGGCAGGTCGATTCAAACTAGCCCTATTAAGTATATTATACTATCAATCTAAAATTACGATGTGAATAGAGCATGTGTTAATATAGCTCACGCAACTCAAGTTTTCTCCTGAAGGTCAGCAATCCAATAAGGTAAATGCTCAGATTGAGGCAGATGCTGGAAGTAACTGCACTGAATTCTATCTGCTTCAATCGTGAACTGCACTAACTGGGCAATTATTTCAAACTATGAACCACAGATATAAAAAGACATACACAGTAAAAAAAAAAAAATAGTTCTAATTTAAAAAACATTTAGTAAATATAAATGAAATAGGGCAACAGTACCTACTTACAAATTCGACCAAATCGGAATACATGCTCAGCTTTTCGGGGAGCCAACTTCAGTCCTGGTTGTGCCACTTAATTGGAGCAAGATCCTCAGTGGGGCATTTTGTGCAAGGATGATTGGAAAATCAATTTACAATATTATCTCAGATCCTAGAGCTAAGGATCTAAAGATCTTCGTTAAGAGCTTGAAGTTGGGGAAAATAAGAGGATGCTGTCCCTCTCACGCCCCCAGGTGACCAGAAGACAGCCTGCATCACACTTCAAGCTCCAATGATTTAAGTCAGAAGCGCCTTTCCCCTCGCTCTCATTCCACAACACTCGACCTGGCCTCCAAAATACAAACCACAACCTGTCTTCTTTGTGGCACCAACTAGCTAATACCTAGGTATGTGCAGGGCTGACTTTGAAGTTGATCAAAGAGCACATCCATTCATTCTAGAAAATAAAGAACAGAAATAACGTGCTTGATCTGCACAGGTTTGACAGACTTTGGCCACCTAGTAAATTCCAGACCAGCTCCCATTAGTGGTCAATAGAAGGCTTTGCATGTGGGCTAGAAACCAAATTAGGTTAAATCAGGCCTTTATTTCAACAGTACAAACTCTGTTTATTTGTATGTAAAGTGCCAGTTTTATATACAAATCAGTAAGTAAACTTTAAAATCTGCTTTGAAGCACCGAGGCTGAGACCTCCCAAGGGCCTTTGAGTAACTGACTGATTAATCCTGCTGGATCTGACTCACTCCAGGGTCCACACATGTTGGGCCCTGACTGCCACTAAGAGCCACGGTGAACTCACCGACAGCCAGCCTGCCTGCAAAAGCCAAAAACGGCCAAGGTCTTTCCTAGGAATCTGAGTAGCTTTTGCCTATGCTTCTTTCTAGGTGAGACAACTAGCATCACTAATCAACAGGCTTGCTTATGAGGTAGCTACACAGTTTTAACAATACTATTAATGAACATTATTAATTCATGGTGTAGCTGGTTCGATGCACTTCAAGTAGCTGATTTTTTTTGGATGAGAAAGGGGAAAAACAAAATCAGCAAAATAAGAGCACATCTTCATTTCTCTTAGAAGTCAGCATCCAAGGTAAAAGAATTCTCTGTTGGACTTGACATCACTCCCATCCTCTGATACTCGCCTACTCTCTTCTCAAAGAAGTTAGTCTTCCCTTCCAGTGAAATATTCTCCATAAAGTCAAATGGATTTTCTACTTTGAAAACCTGAAAAGGTTCACAGGAAAATTTAAATACAGAACACCAGTATCAGAAGAACCAGAAGGCTATAAACAATACTTTACCTTGCCAAAACCTAGCTCCAGCATAAGTCGGTCTGCCACGAACTCAATATACTGCTTCATTAACGTGCAATTCATCCCAATGAGCTTCACAGGCAAGGCCTCCGTGAGGAACTCCTAGAGACCAAAACAGAGCTTCTCAATAAAATGGAAGCATCAAGACACCTTCTAGCTGGCACGAGAGACCCTGATGCAACACCCACCTGCTCTATCCGAACGGCATTAATAATTATTTCCTTCACTCTCTGCTCGGAAGGTTTGTGGACCAGGTGTTTGAACATCAGGCAGGCAAAGTCACAGTGTAAACCCTAGAAGAAAAGGTTTAAGATCACTATTAAAACCAGACTTGTATCAGGGCGCCTGGGTGGCTCAGTCATTACGCATCTGCCTTCGGCTCAGGTCACGATCCCAGGGTCCTGGGATCGAGCCCCGCATCGGGCTCCCTGCTCGGCGGGAAGCCTGCTTCTCCCTCTCCCACTCCCCCTGCTTGTGTTCCCTCTCTCGCTGTGTCTCTCTCTCTCTCTCTAACAGACAAATAAATAAATAAATCTTTAAAATGAAAGAAAAAAAAGAACCAGACTTGCATCGTTAACGCGAAACAGGAAATGGCTTTCCCCTTTTCTGCACTCTCCTCCCTACACCTTGTGTGGCGGCAGTTTAAGCACTTCAACGGTCAAAGGGAAGAGGGCTTCAACTGCCATCTCCTCTGCAAAGGTCATGGCAGGTTCGGCTGCACCCAAGGTCCTCAACACTGCTCCCCTGGGGAATAACAGCAGGCCAGGTCCGGTCCCTGCTGCCCTGTGTGGTAGCCAAGGATGGGGTAGGACTTCTCAAACCATTCTTCCTATATCTGTGAGCTCCCGTTTTGCCACTATTCCCAGCAGGAAAAGCAAAACTCGGCGACCAGGCTAGCTGGTTGTGAGATTTACAGCCTAATGCTCGGGAAATCAGTAACACAATTTCCAGTGAATGGAGTCTACGAGTCTTAGTGCCAAGTAACCCTGATCTTCCTATAACAGAAGGAAGAGCTTCTTATAAAGCAAGACCAACTGATCTGCCCACTGGGCTCCAAGTATGGCAGGGTTCATGGCCCTGGCCTTGCCAACTGGAATTAAATTAGAACACCTGGACATCTTCACCTGCCCTTCCAGTTTAATCCAAGTGCACTCAAAGACATAAACTGGACCAGAATGGATTCTCGTTCTTCACTGGGATGCTTATCGACCAACTCTGAAGTACAGTAGAGTCATACAGAATACTGGGCAAAGAGAACATAAAACACCCCATCACCTAGGGTGCACCAGACATATAAAGGTATTGAGAGGGCGCCTGGGTGGCTCAGTCGTTAGGCGTCTGCCTTCGGCTCACGTCATGATCCCAGGGTCCTGGGATCGAGCCCCGCATCGGGTTCCCTGCTCTGCAGGAGGCCTGCTTCTCCCTCTCCCACTCCCCCTGCTTGTGTTCCCTCTCTCGCTGTCTCTCTCTCTGTCAAATAAATAAAATCTTTAAAAAAAAAAAAAAGGTATTGAGAACACAAGTACTTCCAGTAAATTAAAGCATTTCATTTTCTGCCAAGTACGGATATGGCTGAACTCACATGTTAAACGTGGGATATCAGGCTATCTTTTATCTGGAGTTCCCATGAGTGAACCCAAGAGTTGTAGATGTTTGGGGTGCCCATTAACCTGTTATGTGAATTAGACTCACCTCATCTCTGCTAATAAGTTCATTGGAAAAGGTGAGGCCGGGCATCAGGCCGCGTTTCTTGAGCCAGAATATCGACGCAAAAGAACCAGAAAAGAAAATTCCTTCCACAGCAGCAAAAGCCACAACCCGTTCTCCTGTGAAGAGTTAATACTGACATAGTTCTAGCTAGCAACCGAGCACGTGCGCAAGGGGGGGGGCCACAGAGCAGGGACGTCACTCAGAGGATGAAGCTCAGGGGGCGCGGGGCCGGGGGGTCCTCACCGTAGGCAGCCTCTTTGTCCCCAATCCAACGCAAGGCCCAATCTGCCTTCTTCTTTACACAAGGCATCGTCTCGATGGCGTTGAAGAGAAATTCCCTAGTAGACACCCAGAGCGTCAGCAGTTACAGCAAAGACCTCCCAGCACAAACATCCGGAAAGCACCACTGGGGCCAAGGCCAAATTGAGCCTCACATTGAAATGTTTTCTCATTACTGTTTTTGCTCCCCCTCCAGTGTTCTTTTTTAAAATCTCAACATTCACTTGGTTCCTATTCTTTAGTTCAGAGGGGATCCCCGAGATCTACTAACATTAGAAGTCTTAGTCCATTACACCAAGAGCATTTATCAGCTTAATTGTATCAAGCCCAGGTCATGACAAAGTTCACAGGCCCTATCTTTGAACTTGAGAAGCCATAAAGTCTTAACCGCTAAGACTACTTCAGCTATGCTGACCATTATCTGGCTAGATAGCACCTTCCTCACCAGACTACCATCAGGTCAATTATATGGGCCCCAAATGCCATATATATATAATAAAGCAATTAAAGCCAATAAACTGAAGAATCTGGGCTTGCTTCCTACCGTAATTCTATGCTACGCTGATGGTTCCAGATCAGGAAAGCAAATCAACTGGCCCCCCACTTACCTGGGTCTTCCTTATTACCCTCTTCT